TACTTAATCTTGTGTATCATGTCTTAAGGAGGTTAATAATGTTATAGACACGAAAACTCATCCATTTAAAACACTTGCTTAAATCTTGCTGAACTGGAATCTGACCAGAAAAGATTCATCAGGATAAAAAAAAGGAATTTTGAATCCAGAAGAGAAAGGACTGAGGAGAGACCACCGGTATATTTAACTTTGATTACTGGTGGCTCATCAGACAGCTGCTCTTTCCTTGACTCAATTCCTCCAAGTCTTTGCAGTACTAATTCAGCAAAAAGGCCGAGTTTCAAACGTTTTGGCATGTCTGGGATATTCTGTTAATGACTGAAAAATATTTCCACAAAAGCATGCGGACAAAATTAGATGTATTCCAAAAAAAGATGAGTTATCCCCTGCCAGCTGCTCCTGATTCCTGCTCTTGAAGAGGGACAGGAAACCCGGGTTGATAAAAGAGTCCCAGAGTATGTATTTCCACCATGACATAAGGCAAAGGTCCTCCAGAAGGAAAGGAATAACCTCCCTCTCTTAAAAGGCAGTCTAAACTTTTGCATAAATAATTGTTTTGAAACTCTCTGCCAAAACTCCCATTTAGCTATGATTACCTCCCACAGCACTTCTGCTGAATTCATTACTCATTCTCAGTTATTCCTGTTTATTCATGCTCGCTGAACTATTCTTTCTTTTCCCAGCTATGTTGTTATGTTGTTACTTTCAACCTCATGCTTTAACATGGAGACACGAGGCACGGCGAATCATTAAGCATCCCTCTCCACACATGCTGGACTGCATGTTTTAAAACCAGACAGACTAAGGAAGCACTGTATGAAAAGAAAGTACTTCGCAAATCTGGATTACGTCCAATCAGGTAAATGCAATTTTCTCCAGCTTCCTTATAGATGAACGTCAATCCTGAACTAAGTCTCGTGAGCGAAGAGTCATTGGGAGGAAGTCATAATCGTAAATAGCACCATGGACCTGAGGTGCTATTCCACTGGAAACAATAGCATCGTTATTGTACGCCCACGGTACAGTAACATGAATGATTGCCGCGGTAATTACAGGAAGCGGGGCGGGTGGCAGGGAAGAGGGAGATGGCTCACCTGCTTCCTTGTTCCTGGGTACTGCCCAGCTCGGCTCTCTCCAGAGCAGGCTACGCTCAAAGTAATTTTGTCAATATCTGTAGCAAAGCTCTCTCCTGGAGAGCTTCAAGCTACATCTGTCAAATTGTGTTACTAGTGTCTTATCAGGGCTGTCCCTGCATGACTGGAATTTGCAATTAATAGCTTAAATGCTGCTATTCAAATACATAGTTGGTCATCTTTTTCTGTGGATAAAACCAAATACGCAGCGCATGGTAGTTAAAAAAAAAAAAGAAAGAATGAGACAATTGTAAGCTGTGCTCAAGAAGCACAACCACGGAGGCAAAGCTAGACCTTCTTCCATACACTAGCACAATTTCCAGCATAGCTGAGAGCACAGGCCATGCCAAGCAACATTGCCATTCCCCAGCTCTGGAAGTAGCTGCCCCAGCCAGGACAACTGAGTCCTGTCAGCACTTGTACCTGGCAGAGATGCACCACAGCCAGAACTATGCCGAGTCCTGCAATGGTGCTGAAAGGCTCTGTCATCTTCTTTTCAAAAAGGCAAGAGCTTATAGCTCTTATTTCCAAAACCTAAGTAAATCAACACTAATTGCTTCGCTCCTTACAGCGTGTGTGGTGGCATACTCACAAAAGCAAGGGAAACACTTTCAACTCACCACAGGGCGTGCGCTACATTATCTTCCCCACCGATTCATTCCTTCTTCCTCACCATTAGTCCTGCCACGTGTTCAGATAGGGCTGAGCACAGGACTCGAACGAGATGAGAATGCAGCGTACCATACGACATACAAACCCACTTGCAAAATCCGTTCCTGATTTACAAGCAAGGTGCTGGGACACGGAGACGTTTTATCACAGCAAAGAGCACGCTGGCACAGCCCAAAACTGAACTCACAACTCTCCTGCCTTCAAGTATGTTTTCCAGTCGATTCTCTTGCCTTGCAAGGGCTATAAACTGTGGCTTTAAAACTGTGCAAATATTGGCAAAACTTTGTGTCCTCATCTAAACGAACTGTGCACAGGGTATTTTAAAAAAAAAAAAAAAAAAATCAAATAATTGGGTAGAAAGTAGTACAAGAGCTTCCACCTACAGTCTATTTCAAGTACATAACATGGCCCAATAATTAAGTTGTAGTATATGATCTCTCTTTTTAAGAATTTCACAAGTTTTTCAAACAGGTGCACGGGTAAGGATGAAACACAACCAGGCAGGGGTTTCCTGTCAAACAGGTGCCGAGATCAGTGGCAAATTCCGGGAGACGCTCAAGTCGCTCCTGAGACAAGTGCCATCGTGAACGGCACTAATGCCCCACCATCATTTCGTGAGAGAAATTAACCCTCCCTCTCACCTCAAGACAACACCATGTGTTCAGATATCACTCCCTCACCCGACAGAAATGTAACTGCTGTCTGAGTGATGGGACTTGACAGCTTCTTGCCAGGAAGCACCACCAAAACCAAACAGCACCGGTATTATTAGGGGTGAAATATTCAGGCGACTAGAAGAAACTGTCACCACTGTGTGGACACTGGGACACTTCTTCTTGCATGAAACAACACAAAAAGTATCATCAAGAGGGTGGCAACTACTGGCCAAAACCTGAGCCTTAATTCTGTTGAGGAGGTCATAAGTTTTGAATTATTTCAGCAAAAAGGACCACCTACCCTGTCCACCTGAGCACCCCTTTTCTGGGGGGGGTTGATCGTGTACTGCTACAGAGCCAAGATGTTGCCTATCTTGCATCAGATCTGCAGGGCTGCAACCTTAAAAACTTACAGATGCACAAATTAAGCTTTAAAAAATGCTGTTGTTTCAAGTCAGGCAGAACTGTTATTTGTTGACATGATCAGTGCCATCTGTTTTGCTGGCTGACACTACTTTCTCCAGAACACTTCAGCTGTCACTTTATATTCTGCCCGTCGCCCATTTCTTTTTTAAACTTTCACTTTTATGCAATGCTTTCAGATACCTTCCAGAACAAAACCTGCGGGCTCTCTTAGAGTTTATTTCTACAAAGATAATTTCAGCATTAACTGAGCCATGGCTTTAAGTCTAGAGCACACACTCACAGCTGTTTTTTTATTTTGTTGGTTTAAAAAAAAAAAAAAAGGAAACACAAAAGAAAAGAAAACTAAAATATTGTAACTGATCTGACTAGTGGCGAGCTTCATACTGAAAAAAATATTTTGAGTGAACTTGACTTTTAAATAACAAAAGTGCTTTTTCTAGGCTGCTTTCCATGTTTCAGTTCAACTGAAAATTTAAACTAGACCTGGCATTTTAATTTTCTGACTGCTACACACTAATGTTCCACCATAAGATTGCAAGGAAATTTAAACAACCTACAGCTTTTAGAATAATTTCCATTAGTCTCATTGAACTTTGAGGCTACTAGAGAACAAATATAAAAGGCAAAAGATCTCTTGAATTTCTGGATGTGTTATTTGTTACCACCTAGCAACCAAAACTTCTAGCAGCATCCTTTTGGAGGGTATCTGCTTGCACCACCCTATCTGCTGTTACCAACTTTAAACTCATCTTTATACTAAAAAGCAAGTATGAAACACGTTCCATGGACAACTTAAAACATGGCCACAGGCAACACCGAAAGCTGAAGGATCGCTGAGGGGTACACGAGAACAAGGAAAAGTGCAGGCAGGAAAGTCCACGAAAGTTCCAGCTTAAACTGGACATGCGCTGTCGCTCCACAGGGCAGAGAGGTGGGAGCACCATTCTCCTCCTCAGACACAGGCTTGATGAGTGCAGCCGCAAAACAGGGTTCAGGCTAAAGACAGGGTAGCAGAAATTAAAGACAAAAAGCTCAGAATAAAACAATGCAAGCTGTAAGGTGTGAATTAAATGGGAACTGTGAAAGAGCTAAAAATGTGCAGCTTGTCTAAGCAAAAGCAAATAATGCAGAAGACTTCCAGATATTTCTGGAAAGCATGAAAAAAGAGGGGGAGAGACCAGCAAGAGTATTTCCACAAGTGACAGGTTTAAATTATGAGCTAGAGGATGAAATTTGAAAAGGAAACATCACTGGCTGAAAGCCCTGGAAAAACTTCCTGACCTTGAGATATTATTGGCTGTGGGACATCCCCCGTGGAGAAGGGAACTGCCTGCCTGGAGAGGCCAGCGGAGCGCCTGCTGGAGGGAACCAGCGCTCCCTGGTTGGAGGGGGACAGCTTCATCTTGCAGGCCCTTTCCATTTCTGCACTTAAAACCTTACTATAGTGCTATCCTATTTTGTAAACATATGCTTATATATATTTGCTGTGTATTTGAGAGCAATTAAGTTGACTGTATAGGAGAACTAGTTAATTCCTTGGACTTAATCACAGAGAGAATGTTCTACAGTACTAAAATTGTCAGTCAGTCAGCAAACAAAATAAACCAACGTAATTGCTTTAAAATTACGTACTTGACAGATGTCTTATATATCATTCTATGTAACAATAGATAAAACCATCTTCTGAAACTGCAGCCTTCTTTAATTCTGTTCCTTTGCTGAAAAAGGATTCTTTTTTTTTTTTTGTTAATTCAAAATATATAACCTACAATGGAAGGTAGTGGAACAGTTCAATTAATACTGTTCTTTTAAACAACAGATAACCCACGTCCAAGCCCCATGTGGATTTTTTATTAATCAAAAAAATTTTCACAGTAGGTCAGGTCTTTTTACTTAAGTGTACTATATTTTGCTTGTCAAGCATACCTTGGGAAACAAGACTGTTAGAGGGAGATGATGGTGAGACAACTATTTTTTTCTTCCATATTTATCAAGTAAATTTACTTATAGACAGTACTTCATAAAATAACCTCCATCAATATGTTAATCATATAAATGTATTTTGAAGATCAAGGGTAACAGAGCACACAGCTAGCTAAGATAACTCAATTACCTTTGTCTTTTCACCAATAACATTTCTCTCCAGCTCAGCTATTTTTCTGTTTAGATGATCCAATATTTCCTTCTCTTTCAGCAGCTCTGTTGTTTCAGATTTCTGTTCCCCATCCAAAAGGGCACATTCCATATCCAACTAGGAACACAAAACATTTTTCAGAAGCAGTCCAGATTAAGAAGAAATCTTGATATACATAATTTTCTGGGAGAAAGGGAGTGAGTTGGTGATTGTTCACAACAGAGAAACATTTTAAAAAGAGGGGAAAAAAAAGTTTTACTCCCACAAAAGAAAGTTAAAAAAAGAGATCACAAATCTGAGAAGAAGTAAAACTGCAACATAAAATACTGCAAAATAAAGTCCAAACCAACTTTAGTTTGAAGATTCTCTTTTCCAAAACTTTTTCTTTTCTAACACTTCTCCTCTGTGCTTCCTCCTATTGTGATACTGTACCGACTCTCTGTGCCCAGGCTCCGCAGGAAACCCTTCTGGAACAGCTGTTTCTTTCCTGTCGCTGATAATTGGAGCAAGCACAACCCAAATGCCTGGCCAGCTTAGTCTGCAACTGTGAGATTCCAGAAGTCAAGCGGGTGCCAACATACCCTTGCCACCGTAAAGCCAAGGAAGTTTAAAAGGAAGTTGTCTCACTTCCTTTCTCTTTAAACGGTCACAGGAGATACCACCATAAAGCTCCCAAGTGACACAAGGTATGTAGATCAATTGAGTGACCATTCAACAAGCAAGATTGTTCTAATTCCACTTAGGAGTATAATGGTTTCAGCTGGGAAAGGCTAATCTGAGCATTACATCCATCTCCCAGCTGGGAAAAAAATAACCTTCATAGTAGGAGACTGCCAGGTCCGTGATTCTGTGCCTAATTCTGGTGAAAAAGTACAGAATATGAAGGCTACATACACCCATGAGTTCCCCATGTACTTGCTGAACCCATCAGACTTATGCTAGGTAGACATACCTAACAAGCCAGACATTTAAAACCAAAATATATTTCATACCTCTCTTGAGGATTCATCCATCTGGTCATTTAAATCTTTGATCTTCTGCTCAAGTTCTTCCAAGTTATTTAGTATTACTATGCGCTCCTCCTCCAGTCGACCAAGCTCCTGCCCTCTTTGCTCATCACTTGTGCATTCTGGCATCTGCAGTTGCACGTTACAAGAGGTTCATTAGAAAAAGAATTAGACACTGTCCTTCCTTCCCCCTTTCATATTGTGTTCATTTTAGACAAGTACGGTACTTCTGATTTTGAACCCATTACATATTTCATATCTACTATATTGGTATTTCTATATTTAGAAGGTGTACAAGAGAAACAAACATGATACTTCATTTCCAGGCATTGGAAGTAAATACTACACTTAACAGTAAATACTATTCATGCTACAGGAATTATTAAAACCTAACCTTTGAGAATACTTTACATGCTGTGCTATTTAGGTTGTAAAAATCCAGTTTTTCCCTTATAAAAATAACACAAATAGATGAAGATGCTTGTTATGTAAATATCAGCTGTTCATATAACAAAAGCCGGGAGGTAGGATAGGACATTTTTGTAACCAGCCATTAAGATGGGCAGCTTCTGTAAAATAAGGACAAAAGTTGGTTCTGTCTCCCCAGTTAGCACTGAGGAAGTAGTACCCTTAACATTGCTCTTTTCAGTGCCATTTACTTACTAGATAACTGTGCCAAGAATTAAACAACATGATTAAGAAAATACCTGTGATCTTATACCAGCAAAGGCTAGATCAAAAAGTATTGAGTTTCAAATGTATTCTTCATGTTCGTCTGACCCCAGGGGCTTGCGATCCAATTACGCTGGTAAGGCTGCTCGCTCATTGTCCCCAGTCAGAATGAGGAGCGGGCTGCGCGCAGGGCTTCGCGTCAACCACTGGACCACACAGCCTTGCTCAAAAGAGGCTCAGCTCGGCTACTGAATGGCTATTCTGAGAGCAGGCATTTTATCCTGGACAAACCTCACCTCGATATTTTAAAACAATGAGCTGTGTTTCATTAACACAGTTGCTTGTTATTGCTTTTCTCGGGGCTTAGCAGAACACCCCTTACAATGAATGAATGAATGGTATTCCTTGATTAGCATTAGTAATCCTAGCAGGAAAGCCTCTTTTTGTCCGGTATCCTGTTCGGATAATGCTGACATAACATCTTCGATTTCAACTTCCTAATAAGGATTTAAAATAGGATCTCTGACTTCCATGAAGAAAGCAACAAATGGGGAAGAAATGCAAGAGCACGGTAACTTGTAAGTGAAATGCCCTGCTACCTTTTCAACATGGAAAGACCAAGTAAAGCCATAATAGCATGTTTCTGTTCAACATAATTTCACACCAAAAGACTCGGCAGATTCCCAGAGAGATACTCCTTTATAAGACAAAATGTTCTTCTATCACTCCTCTCTCTCTTTCTACACATACACACTTCTATTGACTATAAAGATGTATGTTAAGCAGAGGTTAAATACAATTCATGTTAGGCGTATAACCGTGCTGAAGCTCATACAGTGTGTAAATAACAGTAAAAAGGAGAGAGACAAAGTATTTTGAAGGTGTGAATTTGTTAAACAGAAACCTGCTTTTATGGCTTTGCTTGGTCTTACTATGCTCCTGATTCTAACTCTTGAATACAGTTACTTAACACGCTGCCTGTCACCAGGATTTGCGGCACTGCTGGTCTGGCACACCAGAGCCCAGGCACTGACCCAAGACGACGAAAGGTCCCTGCCCCAGCCCGCAGGAGGCTGCTGCTGCCCTAGCTGAAGGAAATTGTCAGGAATGCTGTTAGCTCGTTTTTTAAAGGACAATTTCCCTTCAGTAACGGAGCAGAAGTGTGAAGTACACAGGAAAGGGGCTGCCACTTATTAAATGCAGGAGTTGGGTTAGAGCGGCAGGAGGCTGGCTGCCGCCACGCGCCCCATGAGCAAAAAAGGCTGGGGTCCAACCCCAGGAAAAGAGACAGGACAGTAGATTTGGCTCAGGCAACTCCTCTTCACCTCCCGTGCAACTGTTCTGGTTTGCCCACAAGAAAACATCCTCCTCTTACAAAAGACAGGAGCCTCCGGCTGGGAGAAGACGGCAGAGCTTCCCTTCCCTCCTACATCCCAGCACGGTGCGAAGCAGGGTTCCTGAAACCTTCCTTATTTAAGTAGCTATAATTGTTCAAGCAAATCCTTCTCCCTCAGAAAAATCTTAAAACTCTTCCTGAACTGTACATCCCTCTGGCAAAAAAAACCTTCCAGTACCAATAGCTTCCATAGAAAATGAAATAATCATTTGCTGGCTGCTAAGTTGTATGAGCTCTAAGATTAATTCTCACACCTAAGCCATCCTAACGGTGGCCCCTGCCAGGACAGCCGACTCCTAGAGGAGACTGAGCAGTCGAACCCAGATTTTCTTTCAGCATTACCTTTGGTGTGATGCTTAGGTAGGACGATTCGGTGGCATCCTTCAGGAAGCCGGGAGCAGCGGAAGGTGGAGGCTTCGCGCTTTCGTTGAAGTGCTCGTCGGCTCTCAACCCTCTAGAGGGGTGGAAAGCAGCAGTGCTGCGGCTGTGGCTGCTCAGCTCCGAGAAGTCCGAATCGCTTGCAGATGATTTCAGGTGGTTCCTGAACCTGGTTTCCAGATTCATCTGCGAGTCCTCAAACACCGAATCCTCGTCGGAGAGCTGAAGTTTTTCGAGTTCTTTGTTAATTTTTTGAACATCAGCAACTGTTGTAGCTGCAGCGGGGGTGCTGTCAGATTTGGAGTATTCTGCACACAGATTGAGGATTGTCTCCAGCCGCTGTCGTTCCTAGTTTAAAAAAAAGATAATAGCACTAAGCATCACATGTGAACTAAAGTAAAGATGAAGTTAAAAAAAGTTTGCTGGTTATTTTTTATGTTTCTTGAGAGTGAAGGATTAAAGTCCTCCAGTTCCATGTATGTCTCTAGCACTTAGAGATAATAAACAGATATACATAAATAAATTACAGTGCAAGATGAAGAATCAAAGTTAACATGGAAGAAGAACTTAAAAAATTAAAAGTACATTTCACAGAAATGAATAGCTACTTAAATAAGATGTCCTGATCTTCGCAATGTGGAAAATTTTAATGTTAATATTATTTATTCAGGTTGTTGTAACCACACCTCATTTGTGTGTACACACGTCCAGTGAGCTGACTGTATAAATCACTAATTGTTCCACTTTACACTTACGCTGTACTCCTGCCAAGCTGCAAAATATTGCACAGATTTTCCATGAACTCACTCATTCCTGACCTTTTTGGATTTTCTGTGTTAACTTTGATTCCCTTCTTTGGGAGAGAAGTAGTCTGCATTTTGAAACACACAGTTTTAGGAGCATTAACAGAAAAACGAGGCATCACATCTAAAATGCAACAGATGTCAAATGCACAGAAGTGGGGGAAGTCTTTATTTACCAGTTAACTCAAATACCATATGGATTCCTAACAACATTTCAAACTTGAGAAGCTGAAGAGCTGTGCCAGTTTGACCTCACGTGCTTCAAGTTCCTATAAACATTTAATTCCTGAAAGATTTCTAAATCTCTATGATACTTCATGAAAAGTATCAGAAAGCTGTATTTGTCTTATTTTACTATATTAAGAAGTGATGCTTTTATGTAATTTCATGTTTCTTTTGCTAAAGAAGAAAAAATAAAAAATTGCTTACCATAAGCCTATTGAAAATTCTGCCGGAAAAAAGACCACTGTGAGAGTTCCATGCTTGGCATTAACACCAGCACTAATGATCCCACTTCCGATTTCTAGGAAACCTTTCTTATTTTTAGTCATATTTAAAAAGAAAGCCAAAAAACCCCCAAATCCTCAGTCCCCCCCAGCCAGGAACCACTGCAGATGTATTCGCTTTCCAAGCTCTACCTGGCATGACATCTGCAAACAGAACTTGCAAAGCAGCTATTTCTGACAGTCCTAACACTTTCTGTGCCCAACAGCAAGTGATAGCAAGAATCAAGCAAAGCAGTTCGGGCCATGCATTGCCTGCTATTTCCCTGCAGCAAGCCACTGGAGTTTTATGAAAATTTAACACAATTTACAAGCACCCAGCTTTTTATACAGCTACCCACAGATTACCCACGTGTATGCACTACATGTTAACATCACCCTGCATCACCCGCAGTTAAGAGCTGCATTTCTTAGCTGGAGAACCCATCTGAACCCAACCGTTTCCAAGAACTACCCAACCGAGAGAGCGCCGCAAGACAGAAATTTTGCCTTCAGGTAGCTTATTCCTAGGTTCTCACTGCAGCTTTCCTCTGAAGCCTCCTGTAACGGCACCGGCAGAGATGAGCTGCTGAAATAACGGAGCCCTGGGCAGCTGCGGAGCAGCAATTGCTAGCTTGTATTTTCCACGAAATGGGTCCAGCGGATTCTGCAGGCATCCTTCAACCCCAAATGATCGACATAATTATAACTCCCCAAAGCCTTGTTCCCTCCAGGCAACCACTGCCAGACCCTAAGCCTCTTCCCTTACCCCTCCAACGCCGCTATCCTCCCTCTTACTAAGTCTTTTGGCCACGCAACCCAATTCCTAAAGCGCTGTGCAAGTGCTGGCTGGGATCACCGGTAATTATGCAGCTCACCCTGTTGTGACAGCTCCGGGCCTGGCCCTTTCCTACAGTCGTCGTAATGGTTATAGATGGGAAACACGGCATCAGGACATGAAGTCCCATCCTCCCCTGCAACAACAGGGTATATCAGGTTTCCCCGTGCCAAGCCTCCATCCCTTCGATAATAATAGGAAATGGCAAATTTCAAAGCGCAGCCGCTGCTCATCCTAGCCTAAGCGCTCAGGTAAGGGGCTCTCACTGCAAACCTGCCCTTTGCTGAGCAGTAAGGAAAAGAAAGGGATTCTTTTTTCCGCAAGTGTCAGATGCTCAGGAAAGCTTAAAAATTGCAGGAAAACCTCTGCCAGTCTTCGAAAAATTCCTGATGAACTTTCAGACACATTACAGAAATACCGATATCTCTCACTTCTATTTTGACATGTGCCGAGAGGCTTACGGACAGGAAGCTCTGTGGTTATTTTATACGCTCTATTCTCATCATTTCATCTCGGCCAACTCATTCCAGGTCCAGCACACCTACACTTAACTGTTTCCAGCATAAATTTCTGAGTCAAGCAGCAAGCTAGGAAAGCACCCCTGCAATGAAAAGTGCAAAAGCAGTAGCACATGGAAAATCCAGTCAATAATTTTGCAAGAAATACCACACAAGTCATTTGTGACACTGAACACAGCAGAGGGAAAAAAAGGTATGTCAAAAGAAGGAAATTGGTTTAAAATTGGCTCTGGCGGGAGGGAAGGGTGCTGAATCAAGCTCTGAGAGCCTTTCAGTGTATTTCCCCATAAAATGTCCTTTCTAACAGACTAAAACGTCTCCATGTATTTTCAGTGGATCTCTTACCTGCTATGAAAAGGGGTACACAGGTCTTGTGCACTTTCTGCCTGAGCAGTTTCACCACTCCTGACTTGCTACACACCACCTATGGATGGCTGCAAATTTACGTGCTGAAGGAGAAGGGTGGGATAAGGGAATAATAACCCTCCTCTGTTATTGATTAACAATGACATTAAGAGACATCCCTGGCACACTGTAAAGAAAAATATTCCAAAATAGGAGAGATAAATACCTCCCACGTTTTTAACTGCAACCATGTCAGTGATTCCTGGATTTGTTCATTTGCTGCATGTCACGTATATGAATTTTACAAATGTGTAGAGGTGATGCTATACGGAGATATCAAGGCAAGACTTGGTTAATCAGCTGTGGCAAGCAGGAAGCTTTTTAGGTAAGTGCCATTAGCAACTGGATAACCCCAGATTTCATTAAAAATACATGTGCAGTCTATCCTTTGTGACCGACGCTAACAAGAATTATGCTTAGTCCGTGCAGCCAGGGCTCCCTTTCCCTGAAGAAGAGGCTGTTGCTCTTTTCAGCTACCAAAGAACAGCACTTTTCCACTGTTGCTCTTTAAAAACCTCATGGACAGGCAAACAACCAGCTTCACAGCAAAAGCTTGGAGCCGCAGCTAGTCAAAAAGGATGGGGGGGAAAGAGGCAAAGGGGAAGAGAGCAGCAGAAACTCCCCAAACTTACTTTCTTACAAATACATTCAGTACCCCACGGACAAGAGGCAGGAGAAAGGTTTCTCTTTTTCCTTCCTGCATTTCTAAGGAGCTGGTGATTTCACACCTGTCAGATACCAAAAAGCTTATTTCAAAGCCAGACTTTAACTGGGTCTGAGAACAGCTCGCCAACTGTTAGAATCATAGAATAGTTTGGGTT